ATGAGTTCATGTCAGAGATGGTCCCTGTTCCTATAATTGGGAAATCCTCTTGGACACTGAGCTTCCATGGGCTACTTCCCTCTGACCCTAGCCTATCAGGTCTCATCAGGACTGGCTGTATTTTTTCCACTCTGGCCTGGTAAGGCTGTCCCCATCCTCCAGTAGGAGGTTATCAAGAAACAGAAAGAATATTATGGAACTCACTCTGTGAGGCCACAGACATGTTGATACCTAAACCACACAAAGACTCAACCAAAAGAGAGAGAGAGAGAGAGAGAGAGAGAGAGAGAGAGAGAGAACTTCAGACCTATCTCTCTCATGAACATTATATACTCTTTTAAAACAGACTTTTAACATTGATGGACTCCATGACTGCTTTTGAGACCTGGTGAAAAATGAAGAAGTTTTGAGAATTGGTGGGAAATGAAGAGGTTTTTTTTTTTTTTTTTTTTTTTTTTAGCTTTTATGAAACACATAAGGGAATTAACAAAGATGAGGCAGCCTTTCCTGAGAAACATCAGTGTTCTGACAGTTGAGTGTCTAGTGTTCTGCTGGTATGTGTGGGTGTATGTGTGTGCATGTGTGTGTATACACATAAAACATCACTCTCAAGGTGTTGTGTAACACTTTTCCAATTCTGTTCCCAGGGGTCTGAGTTCTAGATCATCATTTTTGTAAGGTAGTGCTCCCAAGTGCTAAAGTCAGAACTGTAGCTCAAGTGCAACTTTACTCAGGCTATTGCAATTGTGCTCAGGTTTACTGTCTGTCAGGCTTTATGGGAAAATCAAACACAGCTTCCCCACTCCTCTTTATGCTTTAAATGAAAGATATTTTGTTATCTTCAAGTAGGAACACACAGTTTTTAAGATAAGAGATATTAAATAAGAATGCTAAGATCTTCACATTGAATTGGGAAGTTTAATGATATTTTGTTTTATTATTATTAAGTGTGTGTGTGAGGGTACATCTGTATGAGACGTTGTACATGTCTGGAGGAATTCAGATGAGGATGTTAAGTGACTGTAACTTGAATCGAAGGTGTTTGAGAGGCAGCAGTATGGATGCCAAAACCAAACTCCTGTCTTCTTTACAGTCAGTACATACTCCTAACTACTGAGGCATCTTCAGGGCCACAATATTTTAGACTCTTAGTGAAGTAATTTAATTAGTTTTCTAAGAATTCTATCTTGCAGTAATTGTCTTTAAAGAGATTTTTTTTTCAGAGAGTTTAAACAATCAATGTTGATTTAATTATCCTGGGACATTATTCTCCCTTAATCTAATGCTACATAATTTAGAACAGAACCTATTAGTACAAATTGGCATCATTTGTCCATCTTAATATATCCTTATTTTGGTACAAAACAAGACTGAAAAATATGGCTTCTAGGGATTTTCTGACCTTTCGTTTGAAGTGGATGGTTAGCACAAAAGATGGTGGTGAGTAGTTATAACTAGAAAAGATCATCCTGAGTAAGTATCCCAAAAGCAGAGAGACATGCATGGTTCATATTCACCTATAAGTGGATATTAGCTATATAATATAGAATAAACATACTTAAATCTCCAGAACAAAAGACAAGGAGTATCCTAGGGAAGATGCTTAATTGTCATTCAGAAGAGAAAATAGGATAGATACTGGAAGCAGTACAAAAGAGGAAACAGGACAGGAGCCTACCATAGATGTTCTCTAAAAGACTCCAACCAGCAGGGGATTGAAGCAGATGCAGAGACTCATAGCCCTGAGCAGGGAATCTTATGGAAAAAGGGGGATATAAAGGTCCAGAGGGGACAATAGCCACACAAAGAGACCAACAAAGCCAAAAATAAATAAATAAATAAATAAATAAATAAATAAATAAATAAATAAATAAAGAAATAAATAAATAAATAAAATTAAATAAAATTCAGGGCCAAGGGACCTGCAGAAATGTATGCATCAACTAAAAACCACACATAGAGAGGACCTAGACCCCCTGCTCAGATGTAGCCCATAGACAGCACAGTCTCCATGTGGGTTCTCTAAACGGAGAAGAGACAGTCTCAGACATGAACTCGGTTACCTGCTTCTTGATCACTTCTCTTTTGTGGTACTACCTAGCCAGGCCACAAAAGAAGAGGATCCACTCAGTCCTGATGGGACCTGATACGCCAGGGTAGACTCTATGAACAGTAGAGGAGGAGAACACCCATATTAGGGGACTAAGGAAGAGGGATAGGGAAGGAAGAGGGAGGTAGGGTGGGACCAGCAGGAGATGATGGAGGGTGCAAAAACTGGGATGCAAATTGAATAAATTGTAAATAATAACAATAAAAATGATAATAATAATAATAGTAAATGTATTACCTTAAAAATTGTGACACAAAAAAAGAGGCTGAAGAGTAGAAGACTAAATACAGCTCTTCACACTCTCTCCATATCTCTTCAACATAGTACTTGAAATCTTTGCTGGAGTAATAAGACCATTAAAGCAGATCAAGGGGATTCAAATCAAAAAGGAAGAAGTAAAAGTATCACTATTTGCAGATGATATGATAGTATACATAAGTGACCACAAAAAATTCTACCAGCACAACTCCTATAGTTGATAAACACCTTCAGCAAAGTGGCTGGATACAAAATTAACTTAAAAAAATTCAGTAGCTTTCCTGTATACAAAAGACAAAAGGGCTGAGACAGAAATTAAGGAAACAACACCCTTCACAATAGCCACAACCATCGTAAAGTATCTTGGTGTAACTCTAACCCAGCAAGTTAAAGACTTGTTTGACAAAAACTTCAAGTCTCTGAAGAAAGAAATTGAAGAAGATAGCACAAGATGGAAAGATCTCCCATGCTCATGGCTTGGCAGGATTAACATAGTAAGAATGGCCATCTTACCAAAAGCAATCTACAGATTCAATGCAATTCCCATCAAATTGCCAACACAATTCTTTACAGACCTTGAAAGAAAAATTTTTAACTTCATATGGGAAAAGAGGAAACCCAGAATTGCTACAACAATATTCTACAATAAAAGATCTTCAGGAGGTATCTCCATCCCTGATCTCGAGCTGTACTATAGAGCAACAGTAAGAAAAACTGCATGGCATTGGCATAGAAACACGACTCTGAAAAAAAAAAGTAAAGAAAAAATTTAAAATGAAATTTAGTTTTGAAATTAGTAGATATTATAATAATATCCAATCATTGTGATTATCTTCATAATTAAAAGCAAAATGTCTAAATAATTGCTTATAACCACAAAAAATGATCTTCTTAGTTTTAATAAGAGAAGCATTTTCTTTGCAGTGAAGGGAATGCACACAAGGCTGCAGAAATTACTGAGAATAAGCGATGATTGAGTAGTGCTTACTTGGCAACAGGATATTTGTATTGCCTGTTTTAAGGTTCAAGGACCATCAACAAAGTAGGCCTTTAGGATGTAAGAACTAGAAGACATGGGTGGAGAATGGTGTTCGGGGAATGGGGTAGGTCTGTGCAATGCTAGCACGTGGCATGAAACAACCAAATGACGCTGATGTGCAGTGGGTCTGCACCTTCCTGCGGACATACAGGCATATGGTGGGTCAACAACATCCAATATCTTTACATCAAAGAATGGACTAATCAGCTTCTGTTTGCTGTTTGCGGGAGTGGCTCTGTTTACAACTGAAAACACTGCTGAAATCCCTCCACTCCAAACAACAATCTAACAAACAAAAACATTTCTAAAACCATAGTCACACATAGGCTCCTGGTTAAAATTTGGGTCACAAAATTGAGAGAGAGAGAGAGAGAGAGAGAGAGAGAGAGAGAGAGAGAAACAACAGCAAAAACATGAATGTGATAGAAAGATCCTGGAAGGAAGGAGAGGTAAAAAGAACAGGAGGGAAAAAAAATGACTTGTTAAGGGTGAGAGTAATCAGGATGCAAAGTGCACTCAGTGTGTGCGTGTTTGTGTGTGTGTGTGTGTGTGTGTGTGTGTGTATGTATGTGTGTGTGTGTGTGTGTGTGTGTGTGTGTGTGTGTGTACATGTAAGGAACAAATTTACAAAGGAAAAATATATATATAATTCCTGCTTGGCCTTGTAGTCTTCTTTGAGTTGTACACCTACGTGAGTGAGTCTGGATGAGAAGCCAAGAATTATTGCAACTTCATCATAATGTTTTGTTTCTCATGCCGTATCATCATTATAAAAGCAGTGCATTTATTTGAATGAAGATCCATTTTTATAGTTGAAAACACTATAGATGACGTACTTTACAAGGCTTCAAAGTAAAACATATATGTCCGTTTGGATTTGCCTTTTAAATTCTGTTGGTATACATTTCTCCAGCTTTATGTCATTCAGTTACATTTACTAAATACATAATAACTGTATTATATATATTCTTTTCCATATTAAATATTTAAACATTAACCAGGATTTAATTAGGTGTGCATTTTCTCAATCTCCCAATTGCATTTTGATGAACTCTTTGGTTATTCAATTAACGTGTGAATGATTTGCATGAAGTCTATTTATACTCTATGGGCTATTGCAGAATCACTTGATATTTTCCCTGTTATATTAATGGATCCATTTATTATTGTACTAGTGGGAAATGAAGTCCTATAATTGGAATCTAGTAAGATACTTTACAGCTTATTAGCTTAGGGGTAATTATCTGCATGTTATATTGCACATTGAATTGCAATTGAAAGTATCTCATTATAATATTTAAGGGAAGAGGCAACAAAAATAATGAAATTGTTAGAGTAACCCCTGGGTTCCAATGAAATGAGCACATGTATTGAAATACTTTAACTTGTAAACAGTATGTTCTTTTTTGATAACTATTCTTTTTCTCTTGTTCCTTTTCTTTTCACTTTTTTTTTTTAATTTGCTGCTTGCCATTGCAGGAAGTAGAGGTTTGTATTCTGTTTCTATGTTTCATATATTATTTGAGATTTCATATGAATCCAAGTATTTTAATTGATCATATGTACTTAAATCATGTTATTTTCTTCTCTTAGGATGATTATTTCCGTACTTGGAGTCCAGGAAAACCATTTGATCAAGGTAAGAATCTAATCATTTCAAAATATAAATATTTAAAGTTTATAATTGAATAGTTTTTAGTAGTACTATTTTTGCCTGGTTAGAATTTAAAATGCTAAATGCATAAGCATGCATGAATAGAAATTCTATGCAGTAACTGTTTATTTCAGGAAAATAAAGTTAGAAAGTAGCTAATTATGTACATGATTATGTCAGAATGGAATTTATTTTTAGAAACATGGTTTACATTACTGATTTGGAATTTTAAACTTTATTTACTATGTGTATTTTTATTGACCATTACAAGTCACTCCACCTATTTTTCAGGGGTACCCTTGAGAGTAGATTTATTTGTGCAAGTTTTCAAAAGAAATACCTTACTATATTCACTTGAATTGATTAAAATGTTTCATTTAAAATAGAACATCTATGGTGATTGCATTCAACTAAGACTTTAGCAAGAACCTAAAGGAAATGCTAGGCACAAAATAATATTCTCCAGCTTAATACGTAAATCTTGCTTCCTGTTAGCTCACCTAAGGAAGGAAAGCCATACTGCTCAACATGTGTGTGCTATGAGAATGGGTATAACCATTTCACCAAAATCATAAATGTAAAAAATGGGAAAAGCTTTATTCACTTGATACTGTGGCATTAGGTCCAGAATATGGTCTTAAATGTTGAAAACAAGGATTTTTAGAGAATACTCTTCTCAGCACTGATAACACTCTGGGAAGTGGTATTGCTTAATAATCAGTCATTGTCTCATGAGTATCATGAAATACTTATAGCAATTATGCAGAAAATAAAAGCTGGTTAGGGGTATGTCTCTAGAGGTTCTAGCCCTAGAGAGAAAGGCCACTTTGCTGTGGGTACCTGAGAAGGGAAAACATTACTGAACAAAACATTTGTACCACAAGCAAGGAAGCTGAGAGAGGAAATTGAAGGGTTCAGAGTTCCTGGGCCATTTCTCAATGAATGCCTCTCAAGGACCTGCACAACAGCAAGAATCCACATGGCAAGACTCTACTACTGTCTCATAACTCTTCTAGTTTGGAAGACAATCCTTTAATACTTAGATTTTATGGGACTATTTAATATCCAGACTAGCAACATACCCAAACTAACAACTTAATGTTTAGAAATATTTGTAGGTTAGTATAAATCCGTAGAGCTGACTGTGAATTATCATCAATGTCAATGTCAATCTGACTTGTAAAGGAGACATTTGCACCCAAGTCATGCTTCAAAATTAATACTTCATTATCTACCTCACATCATCTCACCATACTACCCCTATTGTTATTAATTGGGTCTGAAGATTTAAATAATTTACTTTTCTCTTGGTTTACCAGTAAGTCATGGCAATGTGCTAAGAAAAAATGTAATAAAAATATGTCAAGCATCATGAAATGCATTTATGCCTTTTCTTGGGAAATGAATTTTTATGATGGAATCATATACCCTGACAACTGGGAATTATCTGTGAACACTTAAACTTTCATTCTTGGTAAATGCTGCTATAAGAAAGATGCTTTGGTGACCCTTGTGTGTGGAAAATGTTTTGAATTATGACTTCTATTTACTTGTGTAAAACTGGTTATCATTGGAAAGGTTGCTAAGAGCAAATATAGTACACAAATCATTTAATCTTCAATGACTAATATTATAATACTGCCTTTGTTATATATAAAAAGTATCTAATGTCATTATTATGTTTAATATGTATTTATATATTTTAGTTTATTTAACCCTTATTATAACTCTTCAGAGTTAGAGGATATTGAAGAAACGAGGAAGTCAAGTTCTTATCCATGTGGTGGTTCTCCAAAGAGGAAGACCAAGAATTTGAGTTTAAGAATTCTGACTTCCGATTTCAGTATCATAACTTCTATTTGCTATTGATAATCATATAGTAAAAGTAAAATATAAAAACTGAATTTTACCATATAAACTATCATTAGCATGTATAGTTCTGATCATAAAGTTCAGTGATATTCAGTGTGAAGTTTATTTCTGTGCATGTATGTAGTATTCACCACTTCCTACCATCACAAAATCTGTGTATATTGTTGTTGAACTAGATATAATCATGTTACCACCTGCTATAGTACAGGCCTACAATGTTTTCTGTACTATCAGATATTAAATTTTGATTGAAAACATATAATTTTGTAGATAAAAACAAATAAAAGTTGCATTCAGTTCAGAAACACATTAGAAAGAGATGTGTCTCTCCATTTGTGAACCACCTGGGAGAAACACAATGTTTCAATGTCTTTATTTGTGAACCACCCAGGAGAAAGACAAGGTTTCAATCCTCCAAAAGATATAAACAAGACGGAATTAAGATGTATTATTTCTAATGAATTTCTAATTCTTTTTGGTATCATTTTCTTCTATGGGAATCATTTTTAAAAGCTAATAGATCTGTTGACTACAAGATGAATTAGAAGGCTCTGCATGCTTACATTTTAGTATATCTTCTTTATTGATATCTATATCATACAAATATAAGTACATTTTTATGTTTTGTAGATGTGAGTTATATATTTTGTTGAAAGACTGAGGAGGTTATGTTATTACATTTTAATTTGCTGCCACTTGTATCTTTTTGATGAAATACAGTTTTTTTAGATATTACTCCTGTTTTCTATAGTGCTTCAAAAAATGTTTCCTGTGTACATGATTAAAATACAGACAAATATGTAAAAAGCTATGCTATTTTATATATAGTAATGCACAAATACACATGTATTTCTGCAAACTAGTTTGTTGTTCATATATACCTCAGGTTTTACATTTTTCAGTGTAACAATTAAAAAATCTTATTTAAGATTCTTTTTATTCATTACAACATCTGTAGTTTGCTTTTCTATCTACAAAAATAATTTGAGTGTTGGAGAACTATAATAATTTTGTGTGTTTAAGTTAAACCATTTTGATGATTGTAACTTGGCTACAAAATAAAATTAAGTACACGTATGCCAAAAATAAATTGCTTTGCATTTCTCCATGTGAGTTAACTGTGCTATTACTTCTCTTCATTAGCGTGGTTAATCATGAGTTGACACAACTGAAATCAACTGAAAAATAGTTTTAATGAGGACATGCATCTTCTCGAATAAGCATAGACTGCATTCTGTGTTTACTGTGAAAAATTAAGGAGAATTTTATAAGTTAACATAGAGTGGTAGAAGAATCCAAGTTTAAAATAATTTAACAATGTTTTGAATATATTCACAGTAGGTTTTAAGAACACTTCTTTTTCTTAACCTGTCTTGTCTGTGAAGTCACTAGAATTTTCATCAGCAACTTTCTTAGTGATTAGAGAATTTGTTTGATCCAAAGCACTATATTTGGACAAGTTATCTTTACTCAAAAGCATGGGACACAGACACACACACAATGGTGTAGGATAAAATAAATAGAAAGGAAATATTTTTTAAGTATTGCTTTAGTTTTTTTTATTTCTATGTATTAGTCACTTTTCTATTAGCTGTTATAAAACACGTTATGAAGCTAATTAAAGAAGAAGGAGAACCTTGGCTCACGGTTTGAACACGTAGTCTATCTTTGCTTGGACAGCACGACAGTATGCATGCTTTGGATGAAGAGAGCTCTAAATGCTGTTGCTCAGGGAAATTCCCTGTTTGGCTTTCCTATTCTTCCCATGAATGAGTAAGTGACTACCAAATTCAGTATGGGTCCTCTTATCACAATTAAGCAAATCTAAAAAACTGGTATTTGTCTCCTAAGTGCATCTACATGCTGTCAAATTGACACCGATTAGTCATCATGCCACAGCGGCTTGGGGTTGCTTCACTAGGAATCTACCTGGGAGAGGGTTGTATCTAACAGATTGGTAACTAGGAACCTAGACATAAATATACCCATTATTTTTCTTGTAATGTCAGTTTCGTGTGATAGCTATGTTTCTCTGTTTTGCATGTATCTGAGGGATGAACAGGGCACAAGAAGCTGTAGAATTCATGAATGTTCTCTGTCTTTGTGAAAATTTGGAAATAAAAAGTCCTCCAGATGAAGTAAACTGTGTGGAGGGCAAAGTCCTACTGCTCCAATAAATTGGGTCTTATTTAGCAGTTTATAAAGATGAAGTATGTGAAGAAACCATTCCTAAACTCAAGATGCTAAAACCTTTGTGCAGAGAGTTGGGAGGATAGTAATCTATGAAAGTAGATGAGTCATGATCCAGGCTCTGGATAAGAAGGGTGGCTGACAAAAAGCAACTACTCTGTTTGAAAGAGGAGTCACCTGCTTAGCCATGTGCTTATCCGTCATTCCTCTGTTTTCATTCTCAGTTCTCAGGACTTCCCCTCATTCTCATTAGTTCCATGTTTCTTCATGGTGTCTTCTGAGATACACCAGTCACAGCAAGAGCTGGCTGCAAAGGACACGATGGTAAAATTCCATATGGAGTCTTTGTTCTCATCAATGAACAGAGCTATTCCTAACGTTATGTTTATAGCTCCTTCTAAAATTGAAGAAGTTTAGTGTTGGAGCAAGTAGGCCCCAAGTTTTTCTCTTTCTTTAAATAGAGTGATGCATTTGAAACACAGGCTCTGTAGATTGCACCGGGTAAATAGAGCCTCTTTCAAATGCTTTGAATCTAGTTTGTTTACGTGAGTGTTACATGTTTCCTACTATCACTCTGGTTGTTTCTTAGTAAAATTCAGCAACAATAGATTGGTCTAATCTGTATTTCACAATAGAGGCATGGTGTGCCACAATGGGACTTTGTCTAAAAGCTTGGAGCCTTTGGTTTTGTTTTAGTAAAAGAAACACAGTTCTCTGCAAAAATCCATCAAGTGAAATATACAAAGATGACTGCATTATTTTATAAATTGTTTTTAATTATTTAAAACGGGAATTTGAACCACTTCTTTTTTATTTTTTTTATTTTATTTATTATTAGTTACATTTTATTAACTCTGTAACCCAGCTGTATCTGCTTCCTCATTCCCTCCCAAACCCTCCCTCCCTCCCACATCTCCTCCCTG